ATGACATCCAGGATGCTCAGAAGGCTGTTGACGCTGTCCCCAGGGACCACTTCTTTCACCACACACTCCTTCCCATCCTGTAACACGAGGGTAGGAGGGCCAGTGACCAGGACTGCCCCCACCCTGCCAAACAGCATTCCACCCCTGGCCATGCCACTAGCCCTCACACTCACCCACCCAGTAATCACTGATGCCCCGATCCCTGACCCTACAAGCCTTCTGACCAGCACCCATTATGTCCTGTCCATAACTAACTGCAACCACTGACTGAGTAGACCACCCCAGATACCCTTGGGCATCTGTTCCTGACTCCTGTCTGCACATCTCAAAAGACCACCAACCCTACTGACCAATAGCAGTGCCTATCCCCAGTGGCCGCTGCACCACTGCCCATCTCCCTGCGGTACCCCCGCGGGCAGCCCACTCACAGGCCCTGGCAGGCAGAGCTCCAGCAGTCCATCTTGCACCACATAGATGCTGGCATCTGGCTGGCCTGGCCGGAAGACGTAGTCACCCTGGCTGAGCCGCTGGAAGATCATGTGCCGGCAGAGCTCCAGAAAGAGTGGCTTCTCGAAGTGGCCCAGCACCCTGTTGGGTGGGATGGGGGAGAAGGAATGCAGGTCAGATCAGTCCCCAGCTCTGCAGCACCCCCACCTGCACCCCGACACTCACCGGACGTTCTTGAGCATGTAGAGCACCTCGGAGGGCAGGTGGGAGTTAGCCAGGTCACCCTCCGTCAGGTCAGCCTCAAGCACCGCTGGCGGGGGCTCCTTCCGCTGCAGCGTTGGTGCCTCTTTCTGGATACGCAGGATCCTGGTGAGAGAAGGGTGCAGGTGGGAGCAGGGAGAGGGCTCAGACAGACCTGAGATCGCCACATAGTCCTTCTCCAGGGACATACAGAACAAGGGTCAGCAAACTCTGGCCTACTGGCCAAATCAGGCCCACCACTTCTCTTTGTAAATAAAGTTTTATTGGCACACAGGCACATTCTTTCATGTATGTGTTGTCTGGAGCTGCTTACAACAGCAGAGCTGAGGAGTTAAAGCAGAGTTGTATGTGGCCTGCACAGCCTAAGATGTTTACTACCCAGCCCTATACAGAAAAAACTTGCTTACCCCTGATGTAAAATTCTGAGATTGTCCCTCCACTAGCGAAAGCGCCCAGAGATGTTAGACCCCTGACACAGCTTCCAAGACATAGGCAAACTCCAGGAAAATCACCTGTTTGTTATGGGACCCAGACACAGTCATTCCAGTAATCACAGACTAGAATCCTAAAATAGCCTCTCTAATATAGGCAGATCCCTGGGGTAGCTTCCATTATATGAGGAGACCTCAGACACGAACTCTCCAATCTTCATAAGGTCCCTAAGAGCCCTTTTTCCCAAGTCTCAGAGAACCCTAAGATAACCCCTTTGATGGTCACACAGACTCCGGCGATATCCTTCACTATATGTAGAGAACCCAGATATATATAGCCTCTCTACTATTCATATACTTGGGAGAGCCCTTCCCTGAAAATCACAGATACTACTGTGATACCCCCTGCAATGGTCACAAGATGCTTAAGATAGACTCTCTAGTATGGGCAGTTTCCTGAGTTAAACTCCATGATATGGAGAAATCCAGATATAGCTTCTCTTCTGAACAGGGAGGTTCTTGGGCTAGCCCTTCCCCAGGTCACAGGCTGCTGAGAGAGCCCTCCGACAGTCATGGCAACATCAGGGTGCCTCCTCAACTGATCGTGGAGAACTAGAGACAGCCCTTCTTCTCAAGTCACAGAAAGCTGTGTGATTAACATCTGTTAAATCATGGACAGCCCTGGAATGTCACCTTAGTGTGAAGACACCCTTGAGACAGACTTCATGAGAGAAGTTGAGGGAGCCCTTTGTTGATGACAGGCACCTCTAAGAAGTCCTTCTTACGTTTTTCATGCAAAAACCCTCTTGAGATCACTCCTAGGGAATAGAAATCCCTCTTTAGTGTGGGAAGAACTCCAAGGTAGGAGACATAGAGAGATGTTTTCTGATACAGAGATTGCTGAGATAACCCCTGGAGAACAGAAACTAGAGATAGCCATTCCAGCTGGTCACAGAAACACCTGAGCTAACTCCAATGAGGCACCTCTTTTGTGAGGAGACCCATGAAATAGCCTACATGGATACCCCTGATGTAGACCCCTAAATGTTCAGCAAGGTGTCTGAGATATTGACTGAAAAGCAAATAGCTTATAGATAGCCCAGGGAGGCATGCCACTGGTAGGGAAACATCACTGAGATAGCCCTTAGGGGACAGAGACCCCAGAGACAGCCTGTCTGGTGTGCAGGAGTTCTGAGATAACCTCTTTGATGTGAGATGACTCCCAAAACAGTGCATGGGGTTCCAAGAACTGCAAGATACATCCTTCAGTGTAGACTGATCACTCAAAAGGCTGCTGAGATAGCCCCCAGCTCCAGGTACACCCAACACAACCTTACTTCTTGGCGATGTTAAGCATCTTGAGTTTCTTCTTCATGCGAGGCCGGGAAGTGGTGCAGATGGAGGTATCCACCAGGGAGGAAGTTGATTGTGACACCTAGGAAAATTAAGGGGGAGAATGGGTCAACTGCCAGTTCAGACCCTAGGGAAGAGGGGGGACAGATCCAGAGGTCCTTAATCAAGGAGAAGGTGTTTACTTCGCGGTGTAACTAGGTAAAGGGCGGGGCCTGTGTGGTCAGCGGGAGTCCCAGGGGCTCCTAGACTCACCTTCCGCATAATCTTCCGGCCATAGAAAAGCACTTTGTCCCTCTTCCGGAATCGATACCGCGGGCCATCCGGGGCTGGGGTTTCTGGGGATAAGGGAGAGAGGCAATCTGAGCTCTACGCGGACTCCACGCGGCCAGAGATGGGGACACTGCGTGCAGACTCCAGCAACTCCCATCTCCACTGCCTCAGGGACCGGGCATTTCAGCTCCCCATCCCGCAGCCTCCCCAGAGGGGCCCTCTGGGTCCTCACTCGGCACTCGAAGCCTCCGCACCAGCAGGAGAATGAGCACGGCCGTGACAAGCACTGCGACTCCGGCCCCTATCATCACTCCCAGCACCTGCGGGATGAACGGCACTGGCTGCGCATCGCATACCCGCCCCGCCAAGCCCTCCCCACCGGGACAAGACATGCCGGTCTCCATTCCACTGCGCCACGTCCGCCCCTAAGAAAGCCACAGGCGCCCCCGGCTTCGGTGTCCCCATCCGCAGAATAGGACAGCGCGGTTCCCTCCCGGGGGGCGCAACTCGTCCCTGCGCCTCGGCGTCCCGCGGTGCACGCCGGGAAGCGTAGTTCCGCCTGAACAGAAGCAGCCGGGTTCTCGCGGGACCGCGACGTTGCGCGCTGAGCACGTCGGGAGTTGTAGTACCCGCCGCGCCACACAACACCCCCTCCCCGCTCCCCGCAACTCTTACCATTCCTGTTTGTAGCGGCGCCTCCATCAGCTGCTTCAGACTGGGCGGCAGGTCTGGTAGCCCAAAGCCCTGGGAATCAAGAAGCTGGAGAAGGCCGTGCAAGTCTTTACTCTGGGCCCGCCCCTCCCCTTTTGCAAGCTTTGCCCACCTTCTTGCTCGCTGCGTGGGCGGGGGGGCAGTTAGAGGGGCGCTGCGGCGCAGGAGGGTAGGGCAAATTAGCCTCGGGGTTCAGGCTAGGGAGTGAGGTGAGTCCCTGGCTCCTCGCCTAGCTCCCTTCACCTACGCACCGCGCCGACCAGACACTTTACCTGTCCAAACCCCACCCTGGGGCCAAAGGGCAGTCGGCGGGGCACCTAGTCAGCAGCCAGCGCACGGGTTCCTAAGGGCACGGCTCCCTCATACCCTGCGGAGTTGACCCACCGACCCTAGGTCCCACCCCCCGTACTCCCCGCGAAAATTGGAAGCCCCACCCCAGGAAAACTGAAGCCTTAAGCCACCAGGTCGGGGAGATGCCTGGCTCCCGGCTCAAGCTTGCCCCAGGGAAGACCCAGGTGCTGGGAAGCGTGGGAATGCTACCGGGAGCTCCCACACAAGGGGTCCTGGGGGGATGTCAAGGTCTCAGAAGGGTCCTGGGACGCTCAGGGTGGGGTGGGCTCGCAAAGTGTTACTGGTTGATGCTGGAGGTTTACTGTCACTTAATAGTAAAGTTATGGGGACAGTGTGGATTCCACAGTGTGGAACATCACTGGAGCTCCGGGAACGACTCTGGCGCCATTGCTGGGCGAGGTAACCGGGGACGCTGGAACTACAGGGGCACTGGATAGTTACATTGTGAGGAATTCGGGATAATTACTTTGGAAAACCGGGAGCTTGGGTGGGCATGTCCTTGGGGTCGTTCGAGCATGAGCGCGGGCCTAGGGAGGGCTTCCGGGCTCGTTTGAAGATACTGGAATATTACTGGGCCTTTTCTGGGAGACGGAGGATGTTTCTAGCACCGCTGGAGTATTCATAAAAATATTGGGGGCGTCACTGGGCCCTTGATACATTACCTGGAAAATTGATGGGGAGCTAGTCTCCTTCCACCCTAGGGCGTACCTGGCTACTGGTGCGGAAACACCTGCCAGGAACTGGGGGGAAGGGAGCATCAAAAAGTCGGGGGCTACCGGGAATGGCGGTGGACAGATCTTGGGAAAGCCGAGGGTTCGCTAACGACCCCGAAGGGAGGCCCTTTCGGAGACCACGGAAACCCGGACTCACCCAGAGGCCGCAGCCGGGGTCCACTCTGCGCCAACACCACTAGGGTGCCGCCCTGCGCCTCAGGCGCGGTCCCTTTAAATTATTCGCTACAGGAGGCACCGAAGCCCCGCCCCCCGCCATGTTTGGAATATCGCGCGGAGCCAGTGCAGCGTGGCGGCTTTAAAGAGACCGAAGACAAGGCGAAAGGAATGCCCCTCCCGCTAGAAATGTGAATAAATTTATTTTCTAGTTTTATTTAATACCCACCCCACCCCACTGTCCGACCTGACTTGGCCTAGGCCCTCACAGGGCGCTGCAGGAAGTCGGTCCTTAAAAGGCAAACCCTAAAAATAAATAAGCAGGAATCTCCACAGTCCGCGATCCTAGGGGTAATGTCCAATGGCAGTCGTGGTTCAGTCAATTCACCAGCAGCGAATGCTCCTCCGAGGCGTCCCTGGAGAAGGGGCAGTGTCAGCCAGGGGCGGAAGGCAGCAGTTCCCTCTGGCACCTCCCCGTCCACCAGCCCCCAATTCCAACCAATACGCGAACCTGCCGCAACAGCAGAGGAGGCTGCAGGCCGAGCCGCTCCCGCGGCGGAACTTGCCCGAGGTGGGGCTGTCCTGGCACTGCGCGATGTAGGCCTGGAGCTCACTCTTTTCTCCGCCCGCACCACCTGGGTGCTGGGGAGAGATGCGGGGTGGCCCAGCTTGAAAGGGGTTCCTTGAAAGCTGCCCTCCCCTCCACCATCCCTCCCTGTTCCTCGATGGCCAAGCAGGCTCCCAACTCTGGGCCTTTGCACTTGCTGTGCCTGCCACCTGTTGTACCTCATGGCGTGCTTCCAGCGACACCTTCCCTGACTCCTGAATGTGTGCACACCCCGCATCTTGGTCAGCTGGTGCCACATCTGCGTCCCCTGGTCCTCAGCTGGAGTAAACGTTGGGGCTTTCAGCTGAGTCTTCGTCCCTCCCAACCTCATGGAGGAACCACCATCACTAACTAGGCTTGTTTGGTGTTCCTTTACCCTGGTGCTCCCTCCCTTGGGCTTCCATTTCTTCAATCTAGAACTTTCTGAGATGACGAAAATGTTTGATTCTATGCTGTCCAATATGGTAGCCACTAGCCACACTGGCTTCTGGGCACTTGATATGTGGTTTATGTGAGTGAGGAAATGAGTTTGGAATTGTATTTCATTTTAATTAAAATAAAAATTTAAATAATCCCATGTAGTTGGACTAGTATTGGATAGCACATTCTAGAAACCTTCCTGGATTCACCCTAACATCAATCTGAAGCAGAGGGTCCCACTGTCACCTTCCACACTTCCTTCATACCTCTCACCAGTCAGTCATCATACTTCCTTCCGTTCATGCATCACTCTTCTTGTCCACTGGTCCTGGACAGATCCTGTACACCTTGCCTCATTTCCTAGATGCCTGGTGCCCAGCACAGGGCTTGGCCCACAATAGGCCCTCAGATATGTTGGCTAAAAAAATCCTGTTTACCTGCTACTCCCACATTCTGCTCTGACCCCCTTCTCTCCTCTGATCCCCATAGCCTGCAAAGTAACCACAGTTCCTCTGACTCAAACAGCCCCTGCCCAGGCCACCCCACAGTACAGAGGGCTTAGGAGCAGGGCTTCCAGATTCGGACAGTCCTGGGTTGAGCCTGGCTTCACCGCTTAGTAGCTGACCTTGGGTAAGTCACAAACTCTATGGCCTGATGTCCCTGTTGGTAAAAGCAGATGCGGACACCCTACCTGGCCAGAACTCCACCTTGATCAAACTGAGAACGAGGCAGCTGTGACCATGACATTAGTCCCACCTGTGCTCCCCAATTCCAAGACACCCTCTCCTTTGGGTTTGCAGTCTCCCACATTCTTTCCTTGGGTCCTTCTCTCCTTGCCTCATGGGTCCTCCAAGACCCAGCCATGGTAGACTCCAAGGGACCCAGAACCCGAGCTGAAGCTGAGTGTGAGTGCGGGTTGGCCCCATGGGCGGAGGGGCTGAGCGGCTGACCTTGATCGTGTCGTAGGCACCAGTAATGAGTGCGATGAAGAGACTCAGCACCATGTAGATGAAGAGACTGATGAAGGAGTAGAGATAGAGCTGGGAGAAGAGCCAGACGAGGCTGCTGCGGCCCTGCTGTGCCTGCATCGCCGCGAATGTCACAAACATGTCGTCCCCATTGATGAGCGAGAACAGGCACTCAGATACCATGGACAGCGAGCGGAACTGTGGCAAGGCAGTGAGGTCAGTGGGGTTATGGGGACAGAGGGAGCCATGGGCATGGCTGGGGACAGGACAGGGACACTGGGGGTCACAGGGGACAGGACAGAGTACCAGTAGTCACAATAGGGCCATCTGGGGGCCACCATGTAATGACAAAGTCATAGGGACAAAGCCAGGATCACCAGGGGTCAGAGGGACAGTGGGCAGAATATCAGCAGTCATGATGTGGTCACTTGAGAGTCACTGTGGCAGCTGACAATGTTGTAAGGTCAATACCAAGGTCCAAAGGGACAGTGGGCAACACTGCAGACCTGCTGGTCAGGTACCAGGGGTCAAGGTGAATTATTCAGTGTGGCCAGGTCAATGATAGCTTAACCAAGGGTCAGAGGGCTTAGGAAGTAGGCTCGGAGGAGGGTAGCCATGAGCATCCTCCACCAGCCCCGGCCCTAGCCAGCCTATACCTTCACATGGTAGGGCCCCAACACGATCCAGCCACAGAAGCAGTAGCCCAGGTAGATGACAGCCACACAGCAGCAGAATCGCATGACGCTGGGCAGGGCCACCCGCAGTGTGGCAATGAGGATCTGCAGTGGGGCAGATGGGGACCCAACGAGGGCATGGTCACAACCAGGGTCAGCGGTGCCAATGGGGGAGAAGCAGTCAGCGCCTGGCCGAGGGCACTTCTGGGGGACAGCTTAGAAGGGACAGCATGGACTGAGGGGGCCCAAGGGAACCCTATGACTGGGCTCAGCTGGGTGGCTATGAAGGGGCAGGTACATGTGGCCCCTGCCCAAGTACAGTGACAGGTACATCTGGGGTGGGCAGGTATGGGGCTAAGAGGCTTGTGACAGGCCATCCGCAGGGGCTGGTGACTGCCATATGTGTATGAATTGGGGGGGTGGGAATTGGGGGACATGTGGCTGCCACCCAGAGGGCCCAGCCTATGCATACAAGGCTTACGTTGTACTTATGGAAGAATGTCAAGTAGCGGATGACGCCGACCCAGACAAGCAGCGTCGAGGTGCCCAGGAGAATGCTGCAGACATCATAGCTGGCCAGGTTCTAGGGGCGGGAGCAGTGTCAGCCCCATCTAGCTCGCCACTCCAGGGAATGTGGCCCCAAGCGGGCATCAGCTGGGGTGGTATCAGGGTCCAGGGTCTGGAAGGAGCCATCAGGGCCCTAGGTAGGGTGTCGGCAGGACCCACCTTGGCTTCGATGCCAATCTTCATGATGGTGCCCGAGATGGTGAGCACATCACTGGTAACCAGCAGGATATACCAGCCATTGACAAATTCCAGCCGCTCCCACAGGCTGATGACGTGTCCCCGCTGGCGCCACATGAACCTGACAAACTCCTGCAGAAGGCAGGTGGGGTGAGGGCCTCTCCAGGAACAGGAGCCTCGCACCACCCCTGGCCCTTAATGGCCCCAGAGCTGGGCGAGGCTGACTTGGGCACCCGTGACACTGGAGTGGCTCTCACATTCTGCAGCAGGAAGCCACGGAGCAGGGAGCGGGCACACAGCAGGAAAGAGAAGGAGCACGTGAGGATCACAACCACGTCAAAGAGGAGCCGGAAGCTGTTATCTCCTGTGGGGAGGGGGTCTTGGGTAGGGCTGGGGTGGTTCCAGGCCTTGGGAGGCCAAGGCTGGGGCTGGGCCAGGCCAAGGGGGCTGTAGGACTGATCAGCGGGCTCATGGGTTACTCTGGGTGAGTCAGAAGTTTGGTCAGTGCTGGTCTGGGGCTTGGGGAATCCCTGGGCAGGTCAGGGCCCCTGGTCTGCATTGGTCTGGGGCTCGGGATCCCTGGGCAGGTCAGAGTCCCTGGTTGATGCTAGTCTGGGGCTTGGGGATCCTTAGGTAGGTCAGGGCCCTGGTTGGCGCTGGTCTGGGGCTTGAGGGCTCACCGTGCCTGAAGACGCTGGGGTGCTTACACTCCTGGATATGGGCCTTGGTCTCCAGGCTGATGGGGATACGTCCGCTATGTGCCTTATTGTCAAACGTGATCTATGGTGGGGTACAGAGTAAGTCTTGGCAGACCTAGGCTCCCAGATCCACATAACAGATGTTCTGCCTGGCCCCCAGGTTGGTTCCTCATCAGTCCCATGCTGTCCCTGGCCAAAGGTCCCCCGCCTTGGAGCTTAGGAGCCCTGTGGCACCACTGCCTGCACACCCCCACCCTGGACACCGTGGGCTCACTAGGACGCTGAAGGTGTAGCAGTCTGGGATCTCATTGTTGATCAGGCTCTGGAGGTTGATGGTCTTCAGCTGGAAGTAGATGGTGACGTTGATCAGCCTGGGGAGGAGGGGTCCAGTGAGGGGGAGGGGGCTCTGCCTTGGGCCCCAGAGTGCCAAGGCTCCTGTCCCATGCTGACTCTGCAGCTGGCAGAGGAAGTGCTCACGCAGCAGGCATCAGCCTGGCCCGTGCCTGCCCCCGCCTTATGGGGAAGTGGCTGCCAGGGAGGACATCTGGCATCCCGCCTCCCCCCACCCTCTGCCCAGCCCTGGGTTGGCCCCCTTGAAGAAGCAATACTTGTGGAATTTGAGTGTGAGGTTTTTGTAACTGGGGCTGCCATCCAAAAGAGAGAGATCATCACTGGGGGGCACAAGGGGTTTCTCGGGGGGGTCCACACGGATGCAATCTGAGGATAGGGAGTCAGAGAAAGGACACTGGAGATGGGGGAGGCATAGGCAGGTCTACCCAGAGTCCCCGACAGCCCCCCTCCCTGATTCACTTCCCACTTTGCACTTGAACATTTGTTGTTTGTTCCCCTGTATCCCCCCAGGGTACGGCCCAGTCTGTCTGTTCCCTGCATAGATGCTAGGGCCTGGCATTCTGTGGGTTCCCAAATGTTTAGCGAATTAATGATATTAAAACATAGCACCCAGCTCCTTCTGCACACCATGGATTCTTCTAAGCATATTGCTTACATCAAATTATTAATGCTCATGACAACCCCACCTCCCAGATGAGTGAGGGGCAGAGCTAAGATTTTAATCCCAGCAGCCAATGGCCCCCAAGAGCTCAGCTCTGCCTTGTCCACTCACCAGTGATGACCATTGGGTCAATGTCAAAGGTGTCATTGGCTGGGTCCACGTGGCCACGGTTGTAATACTGCTGACAGAGGGCCAAGGCCGAGCCATTGGCCCAGGGGCCGCCCCCGCCCCGCACATATGCATAGCGGCCCAGTGACACACTGGGGAGCATCAGGTACTGTGGGCAGAGAAGAGGAGGGTCCATCAGCCCCACCTGCTCTGCGCCCACCTCCCGACCTGGCCCTGGCCGCCCGCACCTGGTCCACAGCGTAGAAGATAGCCTGGTAGAGCTGCTCCCGCGTATAGGCTGCAAAGGTGTCATCCGCCCCATCGGAGTAGCCCAGAAGGAAGAGGTGGCGGAAGGCAATGGTGTTCTCCTCCCGGAACGTCACTGCCAACTGGTTGCTGAGCCCGAACAGGATGAGCTGGCAGGAGGGACAGGGGGTTCGACACTGCTGGGACGGGGCCTCCCTCAGTGCATGAGTGGAGAAAGAGAAAGCGCACTCCCTGAGGGCATACGTCCCCATCTCCCATGCCCACCATTGGTTCCCCATGCACAGCACACAGTGGGCACTCATATCTCACAGTAGCAACTAATGTACATTAAATGTTTACTGGATGCCAACTTCTGTGCTAACCCCAAACCTACAGGGTAAGTATCACTGTTGGGCCCCTTAACCAAAGGGAATTTAGCATAGTAACATGCCCAAAATCACGGTACTAGACTAGAAGCTCCTTAAGGCAGGAGCTTGGTCTGATTCATTTTGGGGTCTCCAGACCTCAGCACAGGGCCTGGCATGGGAAGGGGAGCAACTATCTGTTCAGCCACTGGGTCACTTCTCTTTGAGAGTCAAGATAGCATCAGACTACCTGGGTCCAAGTGCCAGCAGCTCCTAACGCTTCATTGCCATGTGACTTAGGACAAGTCCCTTAACCTCTCTGAGCCTCAGCTGCCTCATCTATAAAATGGGGGGCGATAGCAGTTGCCAGGACCTCAAAGGGCATGTGTGAGGCTAAAAGGGGCTGTTTACAAACAGAACTCAAAGGGCTTCATGATTGATTACTGCCACTGTCACTATCATTATGCTGCTGTGGGGCAGGACTAGGCTCCAACTCCCAGACTTTCCTTCAAGGAAAACAGCGTTCTGCTGTTCAGGCAGTGTTCTGCTGGGGCCCTTGCAGGTCTCACCTGCACAGTGACCACCAAGATTTTCACCACTTGCAGCATCAGCTTGAAGGGCTTACGGCCCTTGGCCCGAAATTTGTCACAAGGACTCATGAAGAAGTACTTGAGACGGCGGCGGAGGTCTTCCTCTTCCAGAGGGGCTGGAGGGGCCGGTGAAGTCCCTGCCTGGGTCCCATATCCGGGGCTGGAGGTCAAGAGGTGCTCTGTCTCTGTAGGAATGGGAGAGAGCAGTGGGGACTGGGCCCAGGCAGGCCCCCTGTTCCATCCAAGAAAGAACTCTGGGAGAAATTCAGAAAATCTTCAACATGTTATGGATATATGCAGAAATGCTGCTGAGAGATTACAAGTTTGGGTTTGGGACTCAAAAGGGCTGGAGTTGCTTTCTGTTGATGGATGCTGCCGAGTAAGCATCGTTCAAGTCTCCCCTCCCGCGGTCATCATGTCTAAGTCAGTCTCCTAAAGAGCCCGAACAGCTGCAGAAGCTCTTCATCGGAGGTTTGAGCTTTGAAACAACCGATGAGTCTGAGGAGCCATTCTGAGCAATAGGAATGCTCACAGACTGTGTGGTGATGAGACCCAAACACCAAGTGCTCCAGAGGCTTTGGGTTTGTAACCGATGCCACCGTGGAGGGCGTGGATGCAGCCATGAATGCAAGGCCACACAAGGTGGATGAAGAGTTGTGGACCAAAGAGGGGTGTCTCAAGAGAAGATTTTCAAAGATCTGATGCCCACTTCACTGTGGAAAAGATTTCTGTGGGTAGTATTAAAGAAGACACTGAAGAACATCACTTAAGAGATTATTTCAAACAGTATGGGAACAGTGAAGTGACTGAAATCATGAATGACCGAGGCAGTGGCAAGAACAGAGGCTCTGCTCTTGTAACCTTTGATGACCATGACTCTGTAAACAAGATTGTCATTCAGAAATACCTGCTGTGAATGCCACAACTGTGAAGTAAGGAAAGCCCTATCTAAGCAAAAGATGGCTAGTGCTTCGTCCAGCCAAAGAGGTCAAAGTGGTTCTGGAAACTTCGGTGGTGGTTGAGGAGGTGGTTTTGCTGGGAATAACAACTTTGGTCGTGGAGGAAACTTCAGTGGTCGAGGTGGCTTTAGTGGCAGTCATGGTGGTGAGGATACGGTAGCAGTGGGGATGGCTATAATGGATTTGGTAATGATGGAAGCAACTTTGGAGGTGGCAGAAGCTTCAATTATTTTGGTAATTACAACAATCTTCAAATTTTGGACCCATGAAAGGAGGACACTTTGGAGGCATAAGCTCTGACCCCTATGGTGGTGGAGGTCACTACTTTGCCAAGGTGGCTATGGTGGTTCCAGCAGCAGCAGCAGTAGCTATGGCAGTGGCAGGTTTTAATTACTGCCAGGAAACAAAGCTTAGCAGGAGAGGAGAGCCAGAGAAGTGACAGGGAAGCTACAGGTTACAACAGATTTGTGAACTCAGTCACGCACAGTAGTGCTAGAAAGGGTCTAGCTGCTACAAAGAAGACGTTTTAGACAATACTTGTGTATGAGCAAAAAATTCAAGGACTGTATTTGTGACTAATTGTATAACAGGTTATTTTAGTTTCTGTTCTGTGGAAAGTGTACAGCATTCCAACAAAGGGTTTTAATGTAAAAAAATTTTTTTTTGCACCATGCTGTTGATTGCTAAATGTAACAGTCTGATCATAATGCTGAATAAATGTGTCTTTTTAAAAATGTGCTGTGTAGTCCTCCACAACTAGACTGAAGAACAAAACAACAGCAACTTGTCTGTTCCCCTTACCCCAATTCCCCAGCACTGTTCCCATCCCCTCAATTCCCCAATAAAAATCTTTACAAAAAAAATGTGCTATGTAGAGTTAGTCTACTCTGAAGCCATCATGGTAAATTACCCCAACAGTGTGAAGTTAGAATTTCTTCATGGTGATGTCAGGTTCCATTTGAAATTTATTTACAACCTGTTTGGGCTCAGAAACCATTGTCTTCAGAAACCTTGGTGTAGTTGAACTGACAGTTACTGTGTTGTTGACCTGGAGCTCACCATTAAAAGGGTCATCCAAGCAGAGTAATGGAGTTTATTTGGTTATTAATGATTGTTAGCACATCCTATGCAATACATCTAAATTGAATTATGGCACCAGATAAAATTAAAGATGGGAATGAAACTTGTGTATCATCCATTATCATGTGTAATCAATAAATGATTTAATATCCTCTTTAAAAAAAGGCGGCGGGGGGGGGGGGGAGTTGGTTTCTGACCCTAATGCTCACCAGCTTGGGCAGGGCATTCAAGTCTCTCTGAGCCTGTTTCTCATCTGCAAAATGGGGCAATAGCATCTCTTATCAAGAAGCTGAAGATTTGATTCTTACAAAGTATTTATCACCAGGGCTGGTACCTGATAAGAATATCACAACATCCCATCATTGTTCCTGTTGTTGATTTGTGGGGAGAGAATGAATTGCTTCCAATGACTTCTCACTGGGCACTCAAGGCCCCCAGACATGAACATGGAACTCAGCTACATGCCAGTATTTTCTGGACAAACACCCAAAGAATGACCTTTCCACTCATCATGACCTGACCTGTCCAGCTGACACTCTCACAGACCACAGGCCTGGAGAAAGCGAGATCAACAACAATGGAAATAATAAAGGAATGCATTTGCTGAAGACTCACTGTGCACCAGCAGGTGTTGTAGTGATGTCCATATAATAGTTTATAAGCTAATATGGCATCTTCATTAAGACCACCAGCTCCTGGAAATCATACATCCCTAGGACCAAATCCCAGACCTGCCACTTCCCAGGTGGGAGACCCCAGGCATCTTTCTAAATCTGTCTCCTCATCTGTAAAGTGTGTGTGTGTGGGGGGGAGTCTCCCCCAAGGCTAAAACTCGGAAAGTGGTTTGAGAATGAAGTGAGGCACCCTGAGTCTCAGTAGTTCTTCAGCAAATGGAAGCTGTTCTAAGCACTGCTTATTCCCTTCAATCCTGACCAGCCCAAGAGAAAGCTCTAAGGATTCAGCATCTGCTGGCGTCAGAGCTGGTCACAGCGGCCCAGAACCGTCCCTGACACACCCCCACCATCCCCACTGGGAGAACCCAGCTTCTTTCCAGGCCTGGCTGACCATTGCCTGGCGCCACCACTGAGATGATTGTGGGCACTGTCAGAGCCTGTCCTGCAGGGAGGGCCAGCTCCTGACTGGTCGCTTTGGAACTTGGATGCTGTTGTGATTGTTTACAAGACAGCTGGATGGAAGCCAGAGGGCAGGCCTACCTCCCTAGCTAGGATCGTAGCTAAACTACCCCAGACCCTACAAGCTGGAACACCTTTCAGGTGTCTCCGGCTAGCTCAAAAAGGGGAGACCAGCACAAAGGGTCTCCCTCCAGGTTCCCCCATGAAAGGCGGAGACTGAAGAGGCTGGGCACCCAACACCTGAGTTCTGGTAAGCAGAGCTTCCATGGGTTTGGAGATCTGAAGTTGAGTTACCGGTAGTCGCCTAGGCTCAAGGAGGCAATACCCCCCAGCCTTCTGCCTGAGTTTTAAAAAGATGAGCATTTGCCTTCTGGATTGGGGAAGGAGTCTCATGTGCGGGTAGGAGAAGCTGGTGCAGGCTGAGTTCCAGTAAAGCTGAGCAATCGGAACTTAGGCTCAGAATGCGAACCTCGCCGCCCCGAGTAAGAGAAGCCCGCGGCCCGCCCGCTGTCTGAGTTTAGGAACTCTGACCAGAGCCTGGGGATCCAGGAAGGGCAGTTGGGAGTCCCTGAGGTCGGAGAAGCTGGTGCCCAACCGCCGCCCAAGTTCTAGGAGTCTTCTGCCCACATTTCCACAGCGGGAAAGCTGAGAGGTCAGCACTGGAGTTTAGGAAAGGCCAAGTGGGAGCTCCGTCGCCCCAGGTCGGGGCAGCTGGGCGCCTGCCTACCCGCCCGCCGCCCGCGTTCTGGGACCCGCGAGGACGCCCGCACCCTCACCTGAGCCTCGCCGGCCTACCGGGGCTGCCATACTGCGGCGGGAAGCGCCGGACGCCAGCGGGCGCGGCGGAGCAGCCCGGGTCCCAGCGCCAAGCGCTGCCACCGCGGCCTTGCTCCCTCGCGGTGCGGCTTCAAACCCTGAAGCATCACCTGACTCGCGCCCCGATCACGTGACCAGGGCGCTCTTGGAGGCACGTGACCGGATCCAGTCCCTCCTCCTGCGCCACGACACCTGCCTGAGCAATGCGCATGCGTGCCTCGGCGGGCGACTCCGAGGGCAGTCACGAGGTCCTAGCGCCGACTGGCAGACAAGATACTGGAGGATAAGGCTGGCCCTGAGCCTGCCAGCGTAGGACTGGTTCCGTCATGCCCTCGTCTAGTGCCAACCTCTTGGCTTCCATGTGCTTGACCCCTTACCCTCCGCGATGTCCAGTGATCACCCTATATCCTATCTCAGGGGTGTTCTCCATCCTTCCGGAAATCCTGGAGCTACTCTTAACCCCTTCTGCTTCTGCCCCTCTCATATGACCTATCAGCAAGTTCGATTTCATTTCCTAATTATATCCCAAATAGGACCACTTATTTCCACTTTTATGGCTCTCGGGCCAGTCACCCACCATTCCTGATCTGGACCACTGCAGCAACTTCCTCTGATCTTAGACTCCCAGTCTTGACCCCTTCCATTCCACTCTCCACCCAGTAGCCAGAAACAAGTTCAAAGAACAGTTCGTATCAGTCCTCTGCCAGAACCCTCTGGTAGAGTCCCACTTCTTGGGGACAACAAGCAAACTCCCCACCGCAGTCTACCAGGGCACTCTGGTCTGCTCCACCTTCTCCCCTAGCTCATTTCTCAGCGGTCCCATGGCCTTTGCACACGTTTGCCCTGGAGCATAATGGTTAAGAATACAGGTTCTGGAGGGCAGACAATTCAGTTTTAAATCTAGGCACTACAACCACCACTTCTCTGTCTTCCAAAGAGTCCCTTAAACTCCATGTGCCTCAGTTTTCTCATTTGCAAAATAGGGATGCTCAATCATAGTTGTCTGCTTCATGGAGCTGTTGAATTAAATGAAAAAATGCAAGAGCCTAGTACCAGGCTGGGCAAATAGTGCTGATGATTAAATTAGTGGTTATTGGGATTATAAAGTTCTTCCTCAGGAAAACTGCACTTGACTTAAGTTAGAAATGTCGTATACGTATTCTAGAATGTACTATACCCTGTAATTACTTTTTAAATGCTTTGGAATCTGGTATCTGTGAGCTCTGCCATGCTTATCTTGCTTCCTGCTGAGACCCGAGCAGTCAACAGATATTTGTCAAATGCATAAATGGGTAACTTCCTTTGTCCAGTGGTATAGCTATAATGTGGGGTTTGAGTAAGTTAGGGGAGCAGACAGAGCAGGACTGCCCACATGGTTTCATATCAGCCTACTAATTTCAACATGCCATAAATCCCACCATTCTGAAAAACCAAGGGTAGGATTGCTGCTCAGACTACCTGCAGAGTTCTGCTCCTGACTCTGGTTACCAAGTCTGGAGGAAGAGTGGTGACTGCTGGGATGGACCAGTGCAAGACCTTGTGAGGGAAGCTGGGAAGTCTGGAGGATGTTAGGAGGAAGCAAAGACATCGTGGTTCCCGAATGTATGGCTGGCTCAGACCACACCCTCCCATCTCCCTAGAAGCTGTGCATTAGGGAGAAAAGAGAAACAGGAGAACCATGAAACTGAGCCAGGAGGCAGTGGGAGGATTTTACTAACTGCACAACACACAACTTCCCCAGACCCCGTGGGTGCCAGCATCCCCTTCAGCCATCGGGCCCCAACAGTGCGTCTTGCTCCTGCACCCCCTCGGGACTCTCACTAGCAGAGAGGGCTGAGCTGTCATGTGTGGGAGAGCTGGGGGCAGGGTGGGTCTCAGGGTTGGGGTCAGGGCTGGGCACAGGATCCAGGTCCAGGCTGTGGCCAGATCCATGGTCAGGGCTGGCCACAAGGTCAGGATTGGCATCATGACCAGACTTAGGGTCAGAAGACTTGACAGGTTTACGGGTGGGGGTGGGTTTGGAGCCAGGGCTGGGTTTGGGGAGGGGGCCCAGCACAGAACCAGGGTCAGAGCCCAGGTCAGAGCTGGGGCCCAGGCCAGAGCCAAGCACAGAGACACCATCAGGACCCAGGAGGGAGACCTGCCCCGGCCTCAACATGGAAGCAGGGCTGAGGCCCAGGCCAGCGGCAGCAGCAGCAGCCGCTGCAGCTGCAGCGGCCGCACCCTCATGCACCCGCTTGTGCTTGGTGAGGCTGGAGGCTTGGCCGAAGGCCTTGCCACAGAGCTGGCAGCGGTAGGGGCGCTCTCCGGAATGCACGTGCAGGTGCTGCAACAGCGCGGAGCTCTGCCCGAAGGCCTTCGAGCAGTGGGGACAGGCGTAGGGCCGCTCGCCCGTGTGGATGCGCAGGTGGTGCTGCAAATTGGAGCTCTGGCCAAAGGCCTTGCCGCAGTGGGGACACCGGTAGGGGCGCTCCGCGGTGTGCGTGCGCTGGTGCTGCAGCAGCGCCGAACTCTGGCCGAAGGCCTTGCCGCACTGAGGGCACGGGTAAGGCCGCTCGCCCGTGTGCGTGCGCAGGTGCTTCAGCAGCGCTGATCCCTGCCCGAAGCCCTTGGCACACACCGGGCACTTGTGCGGCCGTGGGCCGCCATGAGTGCGCAAGTGCTGCGCCAGCAACGAGCCGTGCCCAAAGGCCTTGCCACACACCGGGCAGTGGTGCGGCTTCTCACCACTGTGGCTGCTGCGGTGCTTCAGCAGCGTGGAGCGCCAGCCAAAGGCCTTGCCGCACGCCGCGCACTGGTAGGGTCGCGCCCCGGTGTGGATGCCCCGGTGTTGGGCGAGCGTGGCGCCATGGCTGAACGACTTGCCGCAGTCGGGGCAGCGGTAGGGCTTCTCGCCACTGTGGGTGCGGCGGTGCTGGCTCAGCCCGGAACTGCGGCGGAAGGCTCGCCCACAATCAGGGCAGGAGAAGGGCCGGGGAGGGCTGGCAGGTGCAGGCAGCACAGCCGGGCTGGTGGTCAAACCCTTGGGGGTGGCAGTGAGACTGGATGAGAGGGGATCCAGGTCTGGGGCTTCCTGGGGGCTGAGGGTGTCACTATTAGGGTCGAGAACCAGAGGGACAGGGCCAATCACGTCTGGATCGAGATCGAAACTTGCAGACATGGGATCTAGATCTTGGGGATCCGAGTCACGGGTCCCCAAGATGGAGCTCGGAGCTTCCACATTCGGGTTCAGATCTTCGGAGATGGGTTCCAGATCTTCATAGCTGGGGTCCACGTCTTCGGAGACAGTGTTGAGGTCTTCTGGATCAGGCTCTGGGTCTTCAGAAACTGGGTCCAGCTCTTCCTGGTTAGGGTCCAGGTCTTCTGAGTCTGAGTCAAGCTCTTCATAAGCAGGCCTTGGGCCCTTGTGGCCTGGGTTCCTGACCAGGACAGAGCGCCGCATCCCAGGTGTGGAAGTGCCAGATGCTTCTGGGGCAGGATCTGCAGGGTGAGGACAAGGTAGGCGAAGGTAGGTTTTGGGGAGCAGAGGTGGCAGGGGTGGGGTGGGGGGGAGTGGGGAGTGGCTTCTTTTGTTGACTGGGCAGGGATGGGATAGGGGGCTGGGCTGTGCCCCAGAACCCACTTCTGAACACACACATGGATCCTCCTCTTGTCTCAGGCCACAGGGAAACTTGTGACTTGCCCCAGCCAGGGCAGGGAGAAAAGGGACCCTAGTGGGTCATGGGGGCGGGGGGGGGGGAGCACTCCCTTCTCAGCCTCACACCTGGATGGAAGTCATGGGACCCGGCACTAGAGGTCTCCAGTACCCAACTCCATGGCTCTGCCCCACTCTCCATGCTGGACTCCTCCTCTCGTGGGAAGCTTGGGTCCTGTGGAGGAGAGACAGTCCTAGGTTCCTAGTCCTTTGTGGGGAAGAAGGTGGGTGTCAGGTTCCTGTGCTTGTTCCTAGGTACATGGCCTGAATTCCTGTCCCATAGCCAGGGGTGGCATATTTGGGGGTTGTTAAGGAAGGGACCTCTGGCTCGCCTCCTAGAGAGGAAGTATCCTGAACTTAGAAGTCTATATCTGGGGAATGAGGGTGGGGGTACAAACCACATCTGGTAGTCCTCTTGAGTCCCTGGGGGAGCACAGGGGCACCCCTGGCTTGCTTCCTGAGGAAGAGATCACCTGAATGCCAGACCTCACAGTTCCAGGGTGGGAGTAACTGTCAAAACACCTGTGTTCCTGAGTACCAGTTCCTAAGGCTAGAGAGGGAGGTGGGGAAATAATGTGTGGTACCTGTGGGGGGGGGGGGGAGCAGGGGGACCCATGGATCCCATAGCCAGGGTGATTGGGACAGGTGCCAGTATACCTGTTGTCCAGTTGTATAGAAGATCCTGAATTCTAACCCCTAGCTGGGGGCCAGGCAAAAATAATACCTGGAAACTCCTCTTGGGTGACTGGGGCGACACCTGGTCCATTTCCTAGAAAGTTCCCCTTTCTCAGTCCCTGAGTGACTGACCCCATGGCTGGGGTATAGGGACACATGTCAGGACACTTTTTGTCCCCTCCTGAAGGAAAGATCCTGAATTCCAGGCTGGAAGTAGGGAGGTGGGTAGAGAAACAATAGCTGGGACCCCTTCTGGGGAGCAGGGGGAGTTCAGGATAAACCTGAAGGGAGGTGATGCCTTGAGCTACCCACCCCATGGCTGAGCACTGGGGGGCAAGCAAATAGATCTGTTCCTGGGAAACAAGGGGACCTTTCCTTCTGGGGAGGGAGACATCCTGAGCCACAGCCCCATAGTTGGGAGTGGGTAAGCAAAAGGAGGTGGCTGAATTCCTAGATCACCTCCTCCACCCAAAACCCCAGGATACCTCCTGGGGACAGGGCTTCCAGCTCTGGACCCCCAAGATTGGAGAGTGAGAGGAATAATAGCTGGAGTCCTAGGGGACAGAGGGAACCTCTGCATCCCCCTATTCAGGAAGGGCCTCCTGAAGTCCCGACCCCAGACTCAGGGTGGGAAGAACAATGCCTGGGGGCCTTATTGGGTTCCTGGGGGCAGTAGGTCTGGATCGCCTCCAGGGGAAGGGGGGTCCTGAACTCCCCACCCCACAGCTAAGGGGTGCCCCCACCCCCCACCCCATTCCT